AGCTTGTTTCACATGCCAATCCCAGCTCCCTCTCCCTCCCCTCCTCCTCCACCCTCCCCACCAGGCCCGATAGTCCCCCAGGATCTCCACTCTGAACCCCAGGGAGGGTAAGGATCTCCATGGAGGATCTCCAGAGTCTGTCATTTCATCCAGGGCAGGGCCTAGGCCCTCCCACAAGAGTCCAGGCTGAGAGAGCATCCTGTATTGTGGGATGGGCAGTCAATGTCCATTTGTATGCCAGGGACAAATACTACCCAAAGCCCAATAGATTGCCTAGGCCTCGTCACTGACACCCACATTCAGGGGGTCTTGATCAGTCCCATGCTGTCTACTCAGCCATCAGTCTGCACACCCAGAATTATAAGATGATAGTGTAATTATCAAGTCTTTACACTTCTCCTGAGGTCCTGTCTGTAACTTTTCAGTCCAAACTAACACCTACAAATCACCTGTTACTGATAAATATAAGATGATTAGTTTCTAAACAATTAAAAAATAATTTCCTTATATTAGGATGATGTATTTCTGATCTATGCCTTATGGAATTTTGAAGTACACTCTAAGAGGAAGGTTTTATATGAGGCTATTCTAGAATACTTTTTCCCAATCCTTCTTTTGGGAAAAAAAGTGTCTCCCTAAATACCCATGGCTGGCCTAGAACTCACTATGCAGAAAAGGCTGGTCTCAAACTTGTGATACAATTGTCTTTGTTTACTGGATGCTGGGATCACAGTGCTGTGCCACTGTGCCTGGCACAACATCTATCTGTCAAAACCTTGTTTGAGGCCAGTGAGATGGCTCAGCAGGTAAAGACACTTACTGTCAAGTGTGATGACCTGAGTCCTACACAGTGGAAAGAGAGAACCACCTCCTACAAGCTGTCCTTTAGCCTCCATATATGTGCTATGGCACATATACACACACTAATAATAATAATGATGATGATGATGATGAACACTCAAAACCTAGACTGAAGATAACATTCATCTGCTGACATTTGTATGATTTTTTAAAAAAATTGTGTGCACATCTCTCGAAGCCCTTATACATTATGTGAAAGGGAATCCAAATTTTTACTCTCCCAACTACCAAGAGAAGAAATAACTTTTACCTTTGTGTGTTTCAGACTGGATATGAGAATCAGTTATGAAAATTTAATTTTTATTTCTTTTTATGTATATATATATAGATGCTTTGCCTGCATGTATATCTGCACCACATATGTACTTTGTGCTGTCAGAGGTCAGAAAAGGCTTGCAATTCCCTGGGGCTATAGTTACAGATAATTGTGGGTTGCCACATGGGTCCTGGGTCCTCTGGAAGAAGTCAGTACTTTTAACTCCTGAGCCATCCCTTCAGGCCAAAAGTGGTAATTTTTTGTTGGATACTGTTTGGCTTTGGGCCTGAAAATATCAAGGCATGATGGGGTTCTCAAACTTTTATTTGTACAAAAATCCCATGATTCAGAGGGGAGACAACAAGAAATTAGAATGACTGGATTTCAAAATCACCTGGAAAGGACAACAATGGACATACATGGGCATGTATTCCTTCCTCTAAATGGGTTGGAACTTATGGTACAGTAATGCTATCCTTGCTGTAAGTTTCACATTAGATAGGCAACTGCTTTAAGAGATGTTTGAAACCCACAATGTGGAGGGAAACAAAGGAATGAAAGCATTGGGTGAGCCACGAAAACTGTGGTTTGGTTGGGTGAGATAGCTCAGCAGATAGTCACAGATAGTGAGAGAGCTGATTCCTCCAACTTGTCCTCTGACCTCCACTAAGTGCCAAGGCGTGTGTGTCTGTGTGTGTGCATGTGTGTTCGAATGTGTGTGTATGTGTGCATGTATGTGCATGAGTGTTTGTGTGTGAGAGAGAAATAAATGAATAAATGAATAAACAAACAAATAAATAAATAAAATACGAATTTAAAACACTAAACTGTATGTTTTCCTGAACAAACAGCCCCCTTCTATCTGGTTTTCTCTTACTGGCTCTCTCTCTCTTACTTTTCTTTTTTCCTCTCTCTTTTTGGAAAGGAGTCTTACTATGCTCACTATGTTGTCTCGGCAAGTTCCTGACTTCTAGAATTCAGCCTCCTAAATGCTGGCCACAGAGGCATGCACCACTATGATAGTCTCTACCTCCTGTGAGTGGAAGTCTGGTATAGGTACAACACTTTTATCTGAAGGACTTACAATAACTTCATAGTACAATCATGTTCATAAAATAACTGGCAATCATTCAAATATAGATCTCTTACTTTACAAAGTTAAATGTTTTAAAATTTGTGAGCTGGGTGGTTGTGGAGCACACCTTTAGTCCCAGCACTCAAGACGTAGAGGCAGGCAGATCTCTGTGAGTTTGAGGCCAGACTGGTCTACAGAATGAGTTCCAGGACAGGCTCCAAAGCTACAGAGAAACCCTGTCTCAAAAACAAACAAACAAACAAAAATCCGTGAGTCTGTTCCCTGTCCTCCATGCTGCATTTTGGTTTCAGCTGTTTTTTTTTTTTTTTTTTTTTTTGGTTTCTGCTGTTTTCTTCCTGGGTAGATTGGCATAATGACAGTATAGAAAAAACAGCATTCCGATCGTTTTTGAATTTCAGTGCTGAGAAGAGAACCTATGACCTCATGCATGCTCTGCCATTTTCTGTTTATTGCTCTATCCATGACTGCTGCCTTGCAAGAATTATTCTAAAACATCACCCAGGATACCATCCTTTGCTTGGAGCAGCATTAAACCAACAGATTTCCTTCCAGTGTTTCACCTGTAGGAACTAGGATTCTGTCCAGGTTGATTAATATATATGGGATGGGGAGGTGCAAGGGGATGGGAGGAGGGATGGGAGGGAGAACTTTGGTTAGAATGTAAAATGATTTTTTTTTATTTTTTTATTTTTGGTTTTTGCGAGACAGGATTTCTCTGTGGCTTTGGAGGCTGTCCTGGAACTCCCTTGGTAGTCCAGGCTGGTCTCGAACTTACAGAGATGTAAAATGATTTTTTAAAAGAATAATAAAAGTACATAGAAAAATATATACTTGATGAAATTTCTGCTTTTTATCTGGGAAATCTATAGCAACCAGCTTTTCTGCCTGTGAGTAAGGAAAGGGAACAATAACATTTTATGATTATTTAAATTTATTTTACTTTTTTTGTTTTTCGAGACAGGGTTTCTCTGTGGCTTTGGAGACTGTCCTGGAACTAGCTCTTGCGGGTCTCAAACTCAGAGATCTGCCTGCCTCTGCCTCCCGAGTGCTGGGATTAAAGGCATGTGCCACCAATGCCCAGTTTGTTTTACTTTTTTAAAAAAAGTTCAGGACCTGTATGCATCACTGACTGACCTGGAACTCACTGTATAGACTAGACTGGTCTCAAAATCAGAGAACTGCCTGCTTCATCTTTCCAAGTGGCTGGAATTGAAGGCATGAGCCACCACTCCCAGTCTATGGTCTGTTTATTTATATATCTGCATGTGTGATGTATGTTGAGTGGAGGTCAGAGGACAAATCTGGAGAGTCGGTTCTTTCCCTCCACTGGGAGCTCCAAGAATCAAATTCAGGTGATCAGGCTTGCATCTCAAATGCTTTTACCTCCTGAGCTAACTCTCCGGTCCTTTTCCAGTCTTGATGAGCTAGCTCTCCTTACTCTCAAATGGCAGAACTATGGGACCAGAATGACTCCAGTCTCCACCCTCTCCACAAATTAGAAAACATTAATTTATGAAATTAGGGGATTGCTCAGGTGATTGACTGCTATCCCCCCTTAAAGAGTGATGAGTAACCTTCTAGAATGTTTCCCAAGTCCAGGGTTTGTCGTGAGTTCCTTTGATTCACTGCAACACCACCCTGCTTGGAAATGACTGCGTCCTTTCCAGAAACACTCCTGAATAACTTGGCACATGCATATGCTTTCACCCGAGCAAAATCGTAATGTAAACGGAGAGGGTGAGATGTATAGAGAGACATGTGTTACTCCATGTATACTTGCTTCAGGCACTTCGGAAATTTTCATGATAAACATATCCTACTGGGGATCCACAAGGATGACCTCAACTAAGAATCTAAGCAGCAGTGGAGAGGCTACCTTAAATGCCCTTCCCCTAAAATGAGATTGATGACTATCCTAAATGCCATCCTAGAGACTTCATTCAGTTGCTGATGGAAGCAGAGATTCACAGCTAAGAACTGAGCCAAACTCCTGGAATCCAGTTGAGGAGTGATGAGCAAAGGGGTCAAGAAACCCACAGAAACAGCTGAGCTGAACAAGTGGTTGCTCAGGAACCCCAGTCTGACAGCTGGGGAAGCAGCATAAGACTGAACCAGGTCCCTTGTACGTGGGTGTCAGTTAGGAGGCCTGGGCAGTCTATGGGGCCTCTGGCAGTGGAACCAGTATTTATCCCGAGTGCACAAATGGACTTTGGGAGCCCATTCCCCATTGAGGAAAACTCTCTCAGCCTAGATATATGGGGCAGGGGCTAGGTCATGCCCCAAATGATGTGACAAACTTTGATGGTCCTCCATAGGATGACTCATCCTCCCTGAGAGGATGGGGGTTGCTGGGGGAATGTGAGGATGGGAGGGAGAGGGAACTGGGATTGGCATGTAAAATAAGATTGTTTTTAATTTAGATAAAAATAATAAAAAACCAAACAACAAAAAGTAACCCAGGGATACTATTTTATAAATGGAGGCCTCTTCAATATTATGTTTAAATTTCATTCCCTTAGCAATTTCCACTCATACCCTTTACACAGTATAACTCTGAAAGCCAATATGCTGCTAAACCAAACTTTTATTGAACACAAAATCATAACTTTATACAGAGGATAAGGCACTAGCTTTGTATACAATTTCATTTAACAGGTATTTGATAAGTAACTCTTTTTTAAAGATTTATTTATTTATTATGAATACAACATCCTGTCTCAATGTATGTCTATACACTAGAAGAGGGCACCAGATCTTATTATGGATGGTTGTAAGCCACCATGTGATTGCTGGGAATCGAACTCAGGCCCTCTGGAAGAGCAGTCAGTGCTCTTAACCTCTGAGCCATCTTTCCAGCCCTGGTAAGTAACTCTTAACAATGTCTATGAACAGTATAAATCTTATTGGAAAACACTTTGGGAAAACTGATGTACACTTTAGTGACCTGCAAAGTAGCCATTGCGGGCACAGTTGCATCCCATAGCTACATTTGGAATTTGACCATTAGGTTGCATAGGTGGCCAGGGAAATGGAGGTGGAGGGGGTGGCCTAGGTGGTACAGGCACCCTGAATAGTGGAGGGGGCTGGGGTGGAAGAGGCAGAATGTTGGGATCCATTGGCAGCGGCAGCACAGGGTGATATTTCCAAATAACCTCCACAATAGGGATGGGACCGTAATTGCCATCCACGTATACGCCCACAGGGGGACTCATGGCCACTGGAATCATGTTTCTGTATATATACGCCCGATGAAGTTGTCTCCACTTGGCTCTTCTGTTCTGAAACCAAATCTTCAATCAGAGGAAAAAAGATTTGGTTAGGATATTGGACAACTAATGTTGTAATAGGGAAAAAAAACATACATGCCGCTGAAATTAAATCTAGTGAACTAAGCTTGGTGCAGAGTTTGAAATGTTGCTGTATTTCTCTTCTCCCGTTACTAATTTTTAACCACTTTCTGGGCCTTAGATGGAGGTGCAGCTGATGAGCTGTACCAGGTCCTTGCTGGTAATGCTAATATCTAATAAACAAGGTAAAGAAGTGTTAAACTAGTTATAGAACTATCCGCTTCTCCTTTGTACTAGGAATGCTGTCGCCCCTATGGTGGTGAAAACGCTTGTTTAAAAAGGCAAGGTCTGACTCAAATCATATTGAACAGAACCACTCTGTGTTTAAAAGAAACTACTATCTTCAATCTGAGGTCACTAGTACTTAGGAGATTATTGATCTTTTAGTCACATTTCCCCCAAGGACGTTTAAGGGTTCGTTTGTCCTCTAAAAACACTTGAAAATGAAACAGTTGGTGGTGAAGTCAAAGAGACCCAGCCACACAGTCCTGGAAGTTTTGTGGCTTGTCATTTCCTTTAATTTTTGCTCGTTTTGCAATTCCGTATAAGAGCAACTGCTGCACAGTGTTGCAGGGATCCTAGGACCTGCAAGTCTCATTCCTTAGCAAAAAATACCGCAATGAGAAGCAGGAAGGACCAAATCCACATTTTAAGGTGTTAAACAACAATGGGAATGAGGGTTGGAAAAAAAAAGGTTCGTCCCCAAAGACTTGCTAACCATTAAATGTACAATCAAGTCTTCAATTAGTTTTTACTCTTAGCAAACTGGATAGCGGAGCTTTTAATGACTTAATTCTTTTTGGAAGCTCTGAACCTGAATTTCCAATTGAGGCAAAAGCCTCTTACTGTTCAAAACTACTTTTACTGTCTCATCTCAGGATTCAATTTTTTTCCAGTATAAAGTCTGTTTGGAAAGATGCAAATGCATCAACCATCAAATCTTCCTAAATGTAACCAAAGGCAATGGATAGAAAAATTTGTTTTGAGGACATATTTAAGTCAATATTCTCAATTCTGGTTTCCTAAAGCAAGTCTACTTTACTGCAAAATAAACAAACAAAAAAGGAAGACAGTGTGGATTCTAAGTTTCCTGGGAAAAGAAAATTAAAGCCGTGAATTTCCAAGCAGTTCAGAACATGTTCTCTCCTTACTTTCGGTTTTCTGGTAATTCTTAAGATGTGGAAGCTAGTGTGTTTGCTTTTATGCTTGTGTGAAGAGTGTCACTCAGAAAAACTTGTTTTCCTTGGAATCTGCTTTGTTGGCCTCTCAACCTGTGCTAGGCCAGCCTGTGTCATCAAGATGCCCTAGTTCAGTGGCCAGCTTTATTAAGGACATTTTTTCCTGTATGTCACCCAAACAGATATGCAACTATTTCCATCACATACACACTCTATGACGAAAGAAGCCTATCCTGATTTTCTACTAAATACTTATGTAATGCAATTATGTTTTAAACATTCCCCATAACTGTACATAGTCACCTTTTTTATTTCATGAAATAGAAATTTTGTCAACACCTGAATAAATGGAAAAGGTATTTTACATTAACAGATAAGAAGATAGACAGAGAGCATTTCCCAGTTAGATTTCAGAAAACTTACATTAAAAAAATCACCAAAAAAGAAAACAAAATCTTAGATGTAAGAAATTGTCTTGGCTCTTTGAAAATCCAAATAACTAGATACTTACTTCAATATCATTTCTGCAACCATTGACCATGTGATCAATTAGGTCACCATTAAGTAGAATGAACATCACAGTAAAATAAAACAGGCACATTTGGACTTTTAATAGCTTTTCTGGAAACTTAAAAAATCAAATTTGCTCTTTAAAACTGGAAAAAATAAATTTCTGAATAGAAAAGTTACTTGAACTGTAGTTTCATAAACTTGAAGTTGAATGGAATCTGTAAAGATACCTATCTCAGACCACATATTTATAACTTTTCCAGTGAAAGAATATAAAACTGTCGATTCTAGTTTTATTTGTTTGCAGGGCTGGGGATGAGTCTGAACCTTATATATACTAGGAAAATGCCATGGATGTAGCTAGCTAAGCAGCATTTGGGAGACTCAGCATTCAATTCCCAGCATGCATCTATCCAGTCTTCTCTCTCTCTCTCTCTCTCTCTCTCTCTCTCTCTCTCTCTCTCTCTCTCTCTCTCTCTCTCTCTCTCTCTCTCTCTCTCTCTCTCTCTCTCTCTCTCTCTCCCCCTCCCTCCCTCCTTCTCTCTCTCTCCCTCCTTCTCTCTCTCTCTCCCTCTCTCTCTCTCTCCCTCTCTCTCTCTCCCTCCCTCCTTCTCTCTCTCTCCCTCCTTCTCTCTCTCTCTCTCTCTCTCTCTCTCTCTCGCTCCCTCTCTCTCTCTCCCTCGCTCCCGCGCTCTCTCTCTCTCTCTCTGTCTCTCTCACACACACACACAGAGTCCAAATATATAATCCATTTCCCACAAAACAGAAAAGACAACAGAAACATACCAACTTGAGAATGCCCAGGACAAAACATAACCTAAATGTGTTTTAGAGTACCTGCCTTACCTAACTGTTTTTCAAAAATTCACTAACCTGCACTCTGGATTCAGGCAAACCCAGACGTTGGGCAAGATTCATTCTGGTGGGATTAAAAAAAAAGTAATGGTTAGTATTGGAGTTGTGGCTAAAAAGAAAACTGCACTATAATTCACAGAGAAACTGGATTTAGGGGGTGGCTTCCTATTCACAAGTAATCTCTTCAATTTAAAACTTTAAAAAGGGGAATATATGTGAAAATGTCTGGTAGTTAGCTAACTAAATATAACTTTTTTTCTGTTTGTGGAACAATAGAGAATAACCCTCGAAATATTTTTCTTGAGAGGTTGTTCTGTGCAAAAACCAAAATGTCAGTTGCCCATAAAGGGCTACCCACCTCCCCAACCTTGATTCTTGGGACTCACTTTGGGCTTCCTAACACTGAGTTAAATCCCCAACCCCAAACTGGTGCTTTGGACCTGAATATTTCCATTTATTCTAAGAAGACGAGGTAAACTCTCAAAGAGTACTTAGACCCAAGTGTGCCCAATGGAAATTATTCTTTTTCTCTTCCCAATTTGAAGGCTGAGTGCCACAAAGTCAGAGTGGGGCTCTGTCGTCATTATGTAAAGCAACCAATCTCAGCCCCTGATTTCACCCTAGCTAGAATAAGTAGGCCCTTCCCCTACAGCTTTAGGACTACAGAGCATCACAGATTTAGGAAATTCCAGCACTTTGCAATGTGGGAGAAGAGCCCTAGGTGTAGCGGCACCCTGCTGGCACCCACTGTAGTGCTCAACTCGTGTGGAAAATCAAAGGGTTTTTAAGTTCACTAAATGAGGAAAGTCAATTTTTACTCTAAGATTTTTAAAATGCCAAACTGCAAAACACAAAACAAAAAGACCCAAATTTATGCTGAACACACTACCAAGATTTAAGTAAAGCGGGTTCCAGTTCTGCCGCGAGCTCCTTGCTCATGCTCATCCCTTCCCTCCAGCCCGCGCTGCCACCCACGCTCCCGCCGGCTCGCCGCCCCCACCGCGTCCCTGCCGTCCCTCTTGATCCTCCCCCCCCCCACGCCGCGTCCCCGCCGGTCCCCCCCTCCACGCCGGCCCACCTGTCCCGCCCCCTCCGGCCCGTCCCGCCCCCTCCGGCCCGTCCCCCCTCCACGCCGCTTCCCCACTCCATGTCCGCCCACCTGAACCGTCCCCCCCCCGCCACCCCGTCCCCCCCTCCACGCCGGCCCACCTGTCCCTCCCCCGACGGCCCTCCGCTACCCCCTCCCCCCGGTCGGCCCACAGCCGCCCCCGCCTACCTCCCCCCCGCCGGCCCTCCCGACCGGCTCGCCGCCAGTCCCCCTGTCTCCCCCGCCCGCCGCCCTCCCCCCTCGTGTCCTCCCGTCCCTTCCCCCACCCTCTCCCGCCAGCCCGCCAATTCTGGTGGTGCGCACTTGCCTCGCCACAGTGGACAGATCTAAGATGGACCCCAGGCTCTTGGCGCCCCCTAGGTGGTTCCCGCCTCTGGAGACCTACGACCCAGCAAAGCCTGGAGCCCGCCAACGAACTAGGCGCCAACGCAGGAAAAAAAAAAAGCCGCTCACCGAGCAAACATGTCGGGGTACTGGGCGCGCTGGAAATAGGCCTCCAGCTCTCGCAGTTGAAGCGGAGTGAAGGAGATGCGGTAGCGGCGGCGCTTCGGTTGAGGCAGTGGCTGCAGTGGGGGCTGCAGTGGGGCCTGCGGCGGCGGCTGCGGCGGCGGCTGCGGCGGCGGCTGCGGCGGCGGCTGCGGCGGCGGCTGCAGCGGGGGTTGCGGCCGGGGCTGCAGCGGGGGCAGCGGCCGGGGCTGCAGCGGGGGCAGCGGCCGGGGCTGCAGCGGGGGCAGCGGCCGGGGCTGCAGAGGGGGCAGCGGCCGGGGCTGCAGCGGGGGCAGCGGCCGGGGCTGCAGCGGGGGCAGCGGCTGGGGCTGCAGCGGGGGCTGGGGCCTGGGCTGCAGCGGGGGCTGGGGCCTGGGCTGCAGCGGGGGCTGCGGCCGGGGCTGCAGCGGGGCCAGCAGAGGGATGGGCGGCAGGGGTGGCATCGGGGCCAGCGCCACGGGGGCAGCCGCCTTCTGCTCCGGCTGAATGTTGGGCTCCGGAAAGCTGTCTCCACGCCCAAGGTTTTCGACCTCATCCCAGGCTCGCGTTGCTTCTGCAACAGGGACATCTGATTTTTCACTAGAGGATTCCAATCCCGCACTTTTCTGGTCGTTTGTCCCTTCGAGAAATGTCGAGGCCAAGGTGATCTGAGAATCTGGAGAAAGGGAAAAAGCACAAACAAAATGCCAGTGCGTTGGCGCTCAAACCGCGTGCGCGGCAAGGAAAAGGTGAGAGGCTCCCCCTAGAGTGGTGATGGTGACTGCTCCAGTAGCGCGCCTCTCGCTCCCCCCTTCCCGCCCTTTGCGAGCACGTCCTAGACATCGGGCTGAGCCCGAATTAACTTTGCTCTACAAGTTTGCAGTGAAATCTACCCATACCCAGGCACTGACTCATTATCTGCAAGTCTTCCTCCTTGCCAGCTCCAGAGTTGGAGTAGTCAGTTGTATCTAATTCTGTATTTCCCCCGTAGTCGGCCCCTGCCAAAATAGTGGAGCTCAAGCTAGTCTGTGAATCTAGAGAAGGAAGAAAGCAAAAAAGAAAAATTGGGGTGTTGGAGTCCAGGGTGCTAGGGCAGGAAGAGTGGGGACCACTCTAAAGGAGCCGTGGCGAGCTTCATCAGTTTGAGGGCGCGCAAAAGAAGGTTTCTTTCCCAAGTTCTCGTCGAGATACTGACCCTGAGATGATTCCTCCTTCACTTGCCCTTCCAAGTTGTTAAAGTCAGTGCAGTAGGGGCACCTACAATTGGTGTGGGATTCCATGGCTGGAGTGCTGCGGGTTGAGTTGCTGGCTTCTGCTGCGGTTGCTTCGGAGAGCTAGGCTAGAGATCCTGCAGGCAGCCTTTCCCGAACCAGAGTGGCGCTCCTCTAGGAGTCACACCCCTTTTTATAGTGTCACCGGGCGTAGGGCTCAGATTTTACGTGGTATGCTTCCGCTAGACGCGTCTAGTAAGAAATGGGAGTACGTCGATTAGGAGTGGGTGGACCTGTAGGGGGTGTACTGGTTACTGAGTGAGCATTAGTTAGTGCCGGTCGGACTTTGAGCTCACTGCGCGCACTGAGACTGGTTTCCATTTGCAGCCAACTAACTTCTGAACTCTGTACGGGTATCCCAATAGCAGGAAGGGGCATTGCAGGGTTGGTAGATCCCAATTTAGCTGCTACGAGCTCGCATGAGCTCGTATAACCCGAACTATTTACCCAATGTTCCTAATTCCATTCTCAGTATTCTGAAGCATGCATGCACTGGACCCTTTTCATTAACATCCCTCAAAGAAAAGACATGGGCATCCTAAAAAATAGGTTCGTGTATTTTATTTATTTATTTATTTATTTATTTATTTATTTATTTATTTTGAGCGCTGGAACATTCTTTCCAAGGACTCGGTGACTGATAACTAGGACTTTTGGTTTTATACTACTCTCACTTTCCAGTCTGTGAATTGAACCTATGTTTAAGTAGGAGGTTATCTGAGGTGGATTTAAAATCAGGTTTCACGAAGCTTTTTGAAGCATAGCAAGTTTGAACTGTAGACGAACATGCAGCGAATTCGGGGTGGCGCCATTCAAAAACACCTTGCAAGAAACTTTATGGGTCTCTTCAAATGCTCCCAGACATTAGTTTTGTTTGTTTGTTTTGTTTTTTGAATGAACCAGCGCCATAATACATAAAGAAATCTGCCAAATGCTTAATGCGCCCAAGAATACTTAGAGGAGCCTTCCTTAGGTTCCTGGCATTTGGAACCCTTGAAGAGACAGGTTGCTCTTAGTGCAGGACTCATTGCAGAAACTTGATTAAACCTAAAGCGCGCCAAATTCCAATTCTGTAGTATGGAAACTCTAAAGGCAGGAGAGTGCTCTGCCTCCCGCTTCGCCCTTCCCGCCTCTTTCTCACTCTTTTTCTGGGACTATTTTTCCACACACCCCGCCCCCTGTATAGAAAATGGCGAGTCAAATTTAAAAGGGCTTTATAATTTTCCAAAAGATGTACCCAAAAGCTTCACAGTGTGTTAATATTCTTAATACTAAACTATTTTATAATTGTGGTCCCTGTGTTTGGCACCACACGATTTATCCTACGTTTACAGTCACGTTTCTTAGCATGTACACTTTTTTTTTCTTAAACACAAATGAGAGCCCTTCTTTCACAAGAGGCTAGGCAACTTAGAAGTTTTATTACAAAGTCTTCACTTTATAACTTATGCCTTAATTTAAAGGTGTAAATAAGGATGTTTCAGGCAGTGTGTGTGTGTGTGTGTGTGTGTGCAGGTGCTTCAAACCTGGATCTGAGGCTCTTGTTCCGTCTAGTCCCCTTCCCTTCACACAAGAGATTTATCTGAATCGCTTTGAACCGAGGTTTGGGATCCAGTAGTGCTGGATTTCCAATGTATGGCTCCAGTTTACACAGAAACGAGGGAAAAAATAATGGGGGGGGATGAATGCATTGTGTACCCCCATCCCGTGGATTTTCTACGGCTCCAGTTTGCACAGGAACCAGGAGAAATATTTATTAGGACAGGCCCTGAATTCAACAAGTCTCGCGACCCCCCCTCCCGCCTGTGTCTGTTTCACTGGTTCTAATATGCCTCCAGTTTGTGCAGGAGCGAGGGGAGAACTTAATAGCATGGGCCCGAATGCAACCTGTCCGACCATTTATCACCCCCGCTCCCCCGCCTCCCCGCCCCCCCTCCCGCGCAGACTGGCCTGGAACTCACAGAGATCCTCCTTTCTCTGCCTCCCTAGAGCTGGGATTAAAAGCATGCACCACCAATGCCCGGCCTTCACTGGCTTTTCTACGACTGCGGTTTGCTCACCAACGAGGGAAAATAATTATTAGGACCGGCCCCGAATGCATCGAGTCCATCTCTCCACCCCCGCACCCGGTATGTGTTTCACGGACTTTTCTAGGGCTCCATTTTGCACAGGAACGAGGGGAGAATTTAATAGCGTGGGCCCTGAATGCATCGTGTCGGTCCCTCCGCGCCGCCCCCCACCGGGCGACATATCTGTTTCACTGGCTTCTTTTCCCCTAAGGGCTTCTGTTTGCACCGGAACCAGGGGAGAAATTAATAGCGTGAGCCCCGAATGCATCGTGTCTGTCCCCGCCCCCACTCGTGTCTGTTTTACTGATTTTTCTGTGGCTCCACTTTGCACAGTTCCTGTCCGCCCCCCCATCTGTTTCACTTTTTTTTTTTTTTTTTTTTTTTTTTGTTCTTCAAGACAGGGTTTCTCTGTGCAGCTGTGGAGCCTGTCCTGGCACTCGCTCTGTAGAGCAGACTGGCCTGGAACTCACAGAGATCCACCTGCCTCTGCCTCCCTAGAGCTGGGATTAAAGGCGTGCGCCACCAATGCCCGCTTTCACTGGCTTTTCTATGGCTGCGGTTTGCTCACCAACGACGGGAAATAATTATTAGGAAGGTCCCGAGTGCATCGAATCCATCTCTCCACCCCCGCACCCGGTATGTGTTTCACGGACTTTTCTAGGGCTCCATTTTGCACAGGAACGAGGGGAGAAATTAATAGCGTGGGCCCTTGAATGCATCGTGTCGGTCCCTCCGCGCCTCCCTCCACCCGGCGCCATATTTGTTTCACTGGCTTTTCCCCCTAGGGCTTCTGTTTGCACAGGAACGAGGGGAGAAATTAATAGCTTGGGCCCCGAATGCATCGTGTCCGTCTGCCGCCCCTCCAGCCCGTGTCTGATTCACTGGCTTTTCTTTTGTTTTGTTTTTTCGACATAGGGTTTCTTTGTGTAGCTTTGGAGGCTGTCCTGGAACTCGTTCTGTAGACCAGGCTGGCCTCGAACTCACAGAGATTCACCTACCTCTGCCTCCCAAGCGCTGGGATTAAAGGCGCGCACCACCACTTGTCTCACTGGCTTTTCTATGGCTCCAGCTTTCACAGGAACGAGGGGAGAAATTAACAGCGTGGGCCCCAAATGCATCGTGTCCGTCTGTCCCCCACCCTTGTCTGTTTCACTGGCCTTTTTCCCTTAATGCTTCAGTTTGCACAGGAACTAGGGGAGATAACTATTAGGACCGGCCCTGAATGCATCGAGTCCATCTCTCACTCCCCCCTCCCCCGTGTCTCTTTTCACTGGCTTTTCTATGGCTCCAGTTCGCACTGGAATGAGGGAAGAAATGCATCCACTCAATCTCTCCACCCCTGCACCAGGTATCTGTTTCACGGACTTTTCAATGGCTCCAGTTTGCTCAGGAACGAGGGGAGAAATTAATAGCCCCGAATGCAACGTGTTCGTGTCCCCCCCTCCCCCGTGTCTGTTTAGCTGGGTTTTCTATGGCTCCAGTTTGCTCAGTAACGAGGGGAGAAATTAAAAGTCGTGGGCTCCGAATGCATGGTGTCTGTCACCGCCTCGCCTGCCTCGTGTCTGTTTCACTGATTTTTCTATGGCTCCAGTTTGCACAGGAATGAGGGGGAAAATTAATAGCTGTCATCCCGAATGCATGCATATTGTCAGTCCCCCCATCTGTTTCACTTTTTTTTGTTTTTTTTTTTTTGTTTTTTTCTTCAAGACAGGGTTTCTCTGTGTAGCTGTGGAGCCTATCCTGGCACTCGCTCTGTAGACCGGACTGACCTGGAACTCACAGAGATCCGCCTTTCTCTGCCTCCCTAGAGCTGGGATTAAAAGCATGCACCACCAATGCCCGGCCTTCACTGGCTTTTCTACGACTGCGGTTTGCTCACCAACGAGGGAAAATAATTATTAGGACCGGCCCCGAATGCATCGAGTCCATCTCTCCACCCCCGCACCCGGTATGTGTTTCACGGACTTTTCTAGGGCTCCATTTTGCACAGGAACGAGGGGAGAATTTAATAGCGTGGGCCCTGAATGCATCGTGTCGGTCCCTCCGCGCCGCCCCCCACCGGGCGACATATCTGTTTCACTGGCTTCTTTTCCCCTAAGGGCTTCTGTTTGCACCGGAACCAGGGGAGAAATTAATAGCGTGAGCCCCGAATGCATCGTGTCTGTCCCCGCCCCCACTCGTGTCTGTTTTACTGATTTTTCTGTGGCTCCACTTTGCACAGTTCCTGTCCGCCCCCCCATCTGTTTCACTTTTTTTTTTTTTTTTTTTTTTTTTGTTCTTCAAGACAGGGTTTCTCTGTGCAGCTGTGGAGCCTGTCCTGGCACTCGCTCTGTAGAGCAGACTGGCCTGGAACTCACAGAGATCCACCTGCCTCTGCCTCCCTAGAGCTGGGATTAAAGGCGTGCGCCACCAATGCCCGCTTTCACTGGCTTTTCTATGGCTGCGGTTTGCTCACCAACGACGGGAAATAATTATTAGGAAGGTCCCGAGTGCATCGAATCCATCTCTCCACCCCCGCACCCGGTATGTGTTTCACGGACTTTTCTAGGGCTCCATTTTGCACAGGAACGAGGGGAGAAATTAATAGCGTGGGCCCTTGAATGCATCGTGTCGGTCCCTCCGTGCGTCCCTCCACCCGGCGCCATAAGTGTTTCACTGGCTTTTCCCCCTAGGGCTTCTGTTTGCACAGGAACGAGGGGAGAAATTAATAGCTTGGGCCCCGAATGCATCGTGTCCGTCTGCCGCCCCTCCAGCCCGTGTCTGATTCACTGGCTTTTCTTTTGTTTTGTTTTTTCGACATAGGGTTTCTTTGTGTAGCTTTGGAGGCTGTCCTGGAACTCGTTCTGTAGACCAGGCTGGCCTCGAACTCACAGAGATTCACCTACCTCTGCCTCCCAAGCGCTGGGATTAAAGGCGCGCACCACCACTTGTCTCACTGGCTTTTCTATGGCTCCAGCTTTCACAGGAACGAGGGGAGAAATTAACAGCGTGGGCCCCAAATGCATCGTGTCCGTCTGTCCCCCAC